GCCCCATTGGAAACACCTGGAGTATGTCTTTTAAATTCTGATTCTTGGGCTTCAGTCAGATTCTCAATCAATAGGTCTGAGGTAGATCCTCACAGGTGATTCTGACATGAACCAGGCTGGGGAGTCCCTGGACTAGATGACCTCCAGGAAGCCCTTCCACCACCTTATTACCTTGACTCTTAACAACCTGACCGTAAGCCTGGAAGAGGCCTGAAGCACCCCAGGGATGCTGCTTGTTGTTGGCGGTATCCGCGTTCAGAGATTTCAGTGGTGTGTGATTTTTCTCCTGTTTGCTTTCTGAGGGGAGGCTCTTGGCCCCATCCCTGCTGCTTTTACAGCTCCAATTAATTGCATCTCATTTATCAAGCTCCAGCTACTGCTCCTTACTGTGAGCTAAGGATAGGAGAGGGAAGGTTGTTCCCGCCCTAGGGCTGTGGTTATTACTGACTGCACATCAAGGTTATATTACTGGAAAAGCCACCCTCCCATACTCTCGCAAGCCAGCATCTTCTGGGATTATGTTATGTCACCCACTGCATGGCTGTTTGTGGAGTGGGCAAAGCCGATAAGAGTGATCTAGAAACGTGCATCAGCTGGGAGAGGATTGGTGGCAGGGAGGGCTCAGGGGAAGGAGGCAACAGGGAAATGTCTGGGGATGGGAGAGGAAACAAACAAACCAACCGGAAACCACTGATCAAGGCAGGGGCTGTAATCAAGGAGGCCTGTAGGCTGTTCTGGATTGTGGGGGCTGCTCTGGGCCTCTGGTTTCTTAGTCACATTCCGTGGAGAGCTAGCAGGAGACCCTTGCTTTGATGACTCTTCCTGTCTGTCCTCTGGTGATGGAGGTGCTTGAGGCCCAGGGTGATGGTGACAATAGCATTCATTTCTTTGCGTTAATAAATTGTATGGCCTGTTGGCCTGCCTGCTGGCCATCCCTGGGTGCAGGGATTCCTGTGGCTGGCTTTGGGCTTGTGCTTTGGGGTATTGGGCACCTGGACTGCTTTGGGGATCTGCCGTGACTCAGGTGACTCAGGCAGTGGCTCACTGGGGACTCACGTGATCAGGATGTGCTGATGCAGAAATCTGGCCCATCTAAGGAGCTGGCCTGTTTGTATTGGTGCCTGATGACCCTCTTACAGGCTATTTCTTGCCAGGGATTTTTCACCCCTCACTGGGCTGCCCTTTTATAGACTGCTGTTTGGAATGAAAAGGACATCTTAAAAAAAAAAAATTTCCTTAAGTATTTCACCAAGCTGGGCTTCTCGGCTTTCTTTCTTTTTTTTTTTTAAAAAACAAAAAAAAACGCCCTCAGGGATTTTGATGCTTTTTCTTTGTGCTCCTCTCACCCCTTCACCTCTGTTAGGATTGGCTGAGGGTGTCTTGTAAATCTCATTTTCTACCAGTAGAAAGATTTCAGCGAGTTGTTTTCAGACCTCTTTCCTACCCTGATCACTGAAAGCTTTGTAACCAGTTCCAAGTGTTATCTGATCGTTACCTGCCAGAGAGGCCAGTTTTGACAGACTGCCCTTGAGGATGTCCAGGTTGAATATTGGTTGCTTTTTCATTCTAGACCCTGGATGAACTTGGGAAGTTCTTTTAGGTTCCTGATCCTTTACTGTATTGACATTTGCTTAGCTCGCAATCTGTTCCCCTCTGGCTCTAAGGGAGCACCCTGGGTGGCACAAATGATTTGTGTTTGACTACTAACCTAAAACGGAAGGAAGACTGGGCAACCTATTTCCCTAGAGATACCGCCTCAGAAATCCAAGGAGGAAGGGTCATTATGAGTCGGAATCGACTTGAGGGCAGTGAGTTTTGGTGAGACTAACCTATAAAGGAGCTCTGGTAGCGTAGTGCCTACAGCATTTGACTGCTAACCAGAAGGTTGATGGTTCTGGTTGGAACCCATCCAGTGATGCCATGGAAGAAAACCCTGGCAATCTGCTTCCCTAAAGAAAACCCCTTGTAGAACAGTTCTACTGTGTAACACGTGGGGTTGCCATGAGATGGAATCAACTTGAAGGCAAGTTTGCAGGGTTTCCGAGGATGAGGATATTTTTGGAAGGGAGAAGACCTCTGACCTGAACTCTCAGGGCATCAGTGCTGGTGGGCTTCTGATGCTCATATGCTTGCGGATTCTTCCCAGCCGCTTGGGCTAGAAAGAGGGGAAAAGGGAAGGCTAACTTACGGCTTCAGTGGCTGATGAAGGGTCCCTTAGCAGTTTTCTGTCTGTATCTGTTTGACTTAACTAATCTATTACTTTATTTTCACTTCTCTGATGATGCTTTCCTGGACTTATCTACCTGGGAATGGAAAGGGACATTTTGGAACAACATGTTATCATGAAAAATGCCAAGGGCCTTTTTCTTTAAAGAGGTCTCATTTAAAATACTGTATTTCTCAAAAGAATTTGGATCCTGGATCAAATTAGATGCAGGTGCTTGAGACTCAAAGCAAAATAGTTAAAGATTAGCTCCTTTGTCATTCTGGCTGCCAAGGTTGTGGTGCAGGTGTTTCCCTTCTCCCTGGTGGCATGAGACCAACACCTCAAGGAGTGGGTGGGGAAAGTTTGGGTGTGGTGGAGTGAGGAGGGGAAAGGAGGAGAAAAGGAGCTGTGGGAGGGGACAGTTTGCTGTTGCTGGGTCTGGATGAGACAGACAGACACTAAGAGGGCAGGTCAGCATAGGCTTGAACTTGCATCATCAGTCCAAGAGGTGATTGTGGGGGTGGAATGTGTAGGCTGGAATGTGCAGAGGCTACTCAGAGTCTCTGAAGAGTGATCTCTTTTTACGTGTGCCAGAGACAGCTGAGGTTGAGGACGCCAGTGGAATAGGTTTTTCTCAGACACTGCTCTGCAAAGGGAGCTCTGGTAGCCTAGTGCCTAAGGCATTTGACTACTAACCAGAAGGCTGGAAGTTCAAACCCACCAGCCACTTGGAAGGAAGGTTGGGCAGGCTTCTTCCATAGTGATATTGCCTTGGAAACCCAAGGAGGGGTCACTATGAGTCGGATCCCACTCAAGGGCAGTGTGTTTTGTTTTGTTTTTGGTCTGCAAAGAACAGTACTTGCCCTTGACTTGGGAATGGGGTTTGTCTTGATTCTGAATGTCTTACTGGCTTTCAGACATTTTGAAATTATGGTCAACATAATTTCCTCTTTCTTTAAAAAAAGACAGTGATTATTGGTGATGGTTGTATCAGTTAGGGCAACCACTCCTACCACCTTTTGGTGCCGAATCGACTCTAACTCAGGGCAATCCCATGTGTACACGTCGGAGTAGAACTGTACTCCATAGGGCTTGTAGTAGCTGGTTTTTTGGAAGTAGATTGCCAGGGCTTTCTTCTGAGGCACCTCTGGGTGGATTTGAACCTCTAGCCTTTGGTTAGCAGCTAAGTGCATCAACCATTTGTTCCACCCGGCTATGTAATGAAGTTTAATAGTGGTTAAACACTCAGCTGATAATTGGAAAGTTGATAATTTGAATTCTTGAGCCACTTCAGCAGTCTGTTTCCATAAAGATGTAAAGATTACAGCCTTGGAAACCCTGTGAGACAGTTTTACTCTGTCCTGTAGAGTTGCGGTAAGTCAGAATCAACATGATGGCAATGGATTTAGGTTTTGCTGTGTAATAGATAGGAGCTCTGGTGGTGGAGTGCCTAAGGCACTTGACTGCTAACTAGAAGGCTGGCAGTTCAAATCCCCAGTCACTCCTCAGAAGGAAGGTTCTTGGAAATCCAAGGAGGGGTTGCTATCTTTGGGAGCTTGGGTAGCGTAGTGCTTAGGGCACTTGACTGCTAACCAGAAGGCTGGCAGTTCAAACCTACCAGCCACTCCTCGGAAGGAAGGTTAGGCAATCTACTTCCATAGTGATACTGCCTTGGAAACCCAAGGAGGGGTTGTTATGAGTCAGGTCCGACTGGATGGCACATAACAACAACAACATGTAATAGATGAATCTCAGAAGCTCTGCTGTGTAACCCAATGGAAATATATCTCCCAACCATGGGAAGTCCCAAATGAGTGTTACTGATTAATGGAGGACCTTCTCCTCAGGAATGCAGGCTCCTTCCATCTTGAGGCTCTGCTCTCTTGTAGGCCTGTGGATAGGGAAAGAGAACAGAGGATGATGGGCAGGATCTGTATGGGGCCAGGACTGGTAGTAGCACCAGTAACATTCCTTCCCATGCCATTAGCTGGGACTCAGTCCCAGGGCTCCCCTTCACGACAAGGCAGCTTGGGGAATGAGTCTGGCTGTGCCATCAGGAAGAAGAGGAAGCAGATTTGGAGAAGAGCTCATTCAGCTCTAGCACAGGGCCCTTGTTAACGTCCTTATGTGGCAACATAGAAGTTGTCAACCAGTCCTCTGTTGGCCTTCCTATTATTTTACTGGTATATAAAATAGTCTAATTAACTGTTAGCAATAATCCAAAGAGACTTTCTACGGAGTCCTGGAAAAGATTTCCTTATTTGAGACACTTCAAAAATAAATAAAACTGCTCAGTGATGCTTTTCTCCTGTTCCTCGTATGAGCAACATTCCCTGTAGGCCAGAGAAAGCAGCCATCTGATTAGAGGTTTGAGAAGCATGTGGTCTTTCTGACCTGTTATTATTATTTTTTTTTAATAAAAGAGATGTTTTCAATATTTTGGTTTAAAACCGTAACTGTGTATGTCACAGATATGGAGTAAGGATGAAATAACTAGAGATTGTGATGTTGCAATGGACAAAAATGAGCAAACTAATGAGATCCTGAAAAGAGGATTTTCTACAATTCATTTATCCAGGATAACAGGGAACTAGTGTTTCTCAGGGAACTTGAGTCTGATGGGCTATACTGGGGGTGGGGGAATGAGGTTGAGGACAGGTCATCCCAGCTCAGTCCTTCAGATTTAAGAATCTGAGCCATTTCTGAGTGACAAAGAAGAGAGTCTTGATTTAGAAGGTTTGTGGCCCTTACTCCTGATTGTTAATCCCTGTGTTGGTTTGATCCCTTTCAGGTTAGTCTGAATGATTCCCACAATCAGATGGTGGTGCACTGGGCTGGAGAGAAAAGCAACGTGATCGTGGCCTTAGCCCGAGACAGCCTGGCATTGGCGAGACCCAAGAGCAGTGATGTAAGTATTTGTGTTCTCTGGCCACTCTTCTGTGCTGTTAACATGCCCTTTTTTTCTGATCTGCCAGGATGATCATGCCAGAAAATAGTGAGTAAGTGGAGAAAGGCTGAGAAGAATTATACGATAGGGAAGAAAATCCAGAAAATAGTATATCCCTTGTTTGCCGAACACAGGGTGGTGCTGTCAGGTGTTGCAAACAGATCTGTGTGGTGTGAGATTACTTCTCTGAAGTGATAGGGTGTGATGTAAATCATTGTATCTGTTCCACAAGATGCCAGAAATGCATTCCTGGGCTGAGCTGCCCACTGGTAGCAGTGCCAGATGGAATCTAGTTGGTCTTTCCCGTGTGCTGTTTCTCCTAACCTGTTCCAGTTGAGTGAATTGTGGAATCTGATTTTCTCACAGTCTTAATTTCCATGGTTGGTGTTTTATTTATTTCTTTTATGATCTTCAATAGTTAAATTCTTTTTTAGACCAAGGGTTACAAACTCAAAGGCCTACAAGAGGCCAGGCAGGTAATGGAACTTACCATTAACTTAATAACACACTTTACTTCCATGATGAAAAATATTCCCATCCATCATTCTTAAGGTATGTGGTTCTCTTGGGCAATATATAATTTTCCCATTTTTGATAGTGATCAAAATTATCTTAATTTGAATGTAGTGATTGAGAGTTGGTCTCAGTGTTGGGGAGATGCAGGAAGTGGAAGGGACTTTGGCAAACTAGAGAACACTTGCTGATCACTTCTCAACTCTGATTGCCCTGCAGGAATGAGGGCCCAGTATAGCCAGATCTGCTGATATTTCAAGAGAATCCCAGAAGTCTGGATTTTGAGTGAACACTGCAGAGTCTTGAAAGTTGGCAGCCAGTGTATAGTTTTTCTAAACATTATGTGGGCCACGTAAAAACATTTGTGAGGGCTAGAGCTGGCCTTTGGGTCCCAAGTCTGTGACCTCACTCCTGACCTCCATGTGGGGAAGAAGGTCAGTCCCTACCTACCATGGATTTAAGGGTCTGACATGGTGAGAGAGTGAGGTTGTGGACAGGAAAATATGCTGAAGCTTTAGTCACTCTGCAAACTGGCCATAGGAAATTGTCTGATGTCTAGCATATTTACACATCAGCCTTAAGATATACTTGCAACCCTTAAATGTAGATATGCTTTCCATGAGGTCCTTCTGTGTGTATCCGCTGTCTAAGTTGGCTGCGTTTAGAGGTAGGTGACTGGAAGGAGCCCCAGGGTTGTTTTCTAGTCGAGTTGAACCGTGGTAGCCACAGACAGAGACTCAGGCAGATGAAGGGATGAAAGATACATAGTTTTGCCCAGAGTGGGTGCCACATGTGGCATGTGGGAACCCACCACAGCTGACAGATATTCTGGATGTAGTGCTCTGGAGTAGGGGGAAGACTTGTTTTGGGAAAATACTTGGGCCCTTTTACAAATGCTGTCAAGGTTGGCAAGCAGTTGTGGCCACAGACTTCAGCCTATGAGCACCTGTTTGCCCTGTGAGGGTCTCTATAGGTACCATCTGTCTCAGTGACCTAGTGCTGCTGTTACACAAATGCCACAAGTGGATGACTTTAAAGAACAGGAATTCATTTTCTCATAGTTCTGGAGGCTAAAAGTCCAAATCAGGATCTTCCTTGTAGGTAGTCCTGGGTGTTTCTTGTTACCTGGTTTGTATGTTGTCCTGTCATTGTGTCTGCTTGCCTCCATGTATGTGTGTGTCTCTGTTCTTTTTATAACTCAAAAGTGATTAGATTTAGAACCCACCCTAGTTGGGTATGATCTATTTAACACAACAGAGAAAAGCCTATTTCCAAACAGGATTATGTACATGAGTATGTGGGTTAGGATTTCAACACATGTTTTGGAGGACAGAATTTAATCCATAATAGCACCTGTGCATGTGTTCAGAATTGTCACTGTCAATAGACAGGAGATAGCTTTATGCTGTACTGTTGAGAAATCCTCCTTAGCACTTTTTTTTTTTTTAATTGTGATTTGGGTGAAGATTTACAGAGCAAATTCACTTTCCATACAGCAGTTCACATACACTTTGTCTTATGACATTGACCACAATTTAGCACAATGCAACACTCCTTAGCACTTTTATACATTAAAAAATTCTTTGCCCAGATAATACTTTGTCTAAGATCAGTATAAGATCTTAACCATTGTTTTATAGTTTTGCTGGAAAAACAAGAGCCTGGAGACATTAAGTGACTTCCGTGAGGCTACTCTGCATCTCTGTAGGGGAATTGGGGCTAAAGAGATTTAAGACCCAATCATGGTCTCAGTGCCTCAATATTTGAGTGTGTCCTGAAGCATCCATTGAACATGTGAAGTGGAAAGCTTTTTCTGGAGTGAAGTATGTGTTAAGTTTATATTGTAAAGGAAATTTAATGTCCAGAGGTAGTAAATAGGGATGATAGAAATTCTTCCATCTGTATACAAGCTACATTAAAGAATTGGCAGATGAAAATGAGATGTTCTGATGTGAAAAGTTAATGCAAAAATAAATTATGACTCACAGGCAGGAGTTGGTGGTAGCGAAAGTAGTAACAATCCAGATTGTCTTTGAAGAAGTCTGGAAGTATGCCTTGTAGGGCCCCTTCAGCAGTCAGAGGGACCTATACAAGCCAAGGCCATGCATATTCAGTATATAAAAAGGAATGGATCTGGAGGCTGAAATCCCAGAAGGTTTACCCTTAAACAAACAAACAAAAAAATTATCAACTGATGAATTTATAGCCAGTGTGAGTTCCAATGTAGTAATAAAAGGTTAATACATTCAGCTGCTAACTGAAATGTTGGATGTCCAAGTCCAACCAAAGGTGCCTTGGAAGAAAGGCCTGGCAATCTACTTCCAAAACAATCAGCCCTAGAAAATCTGATGGAACACAGTTCTACTTTGACACATACAAGGTCACCATGAGTCAGAGTTTACGTGATGGCAACTGGTGACTAGTGTGGTGTGTTCCATGAACAGCTCCTGCGGGACTGATTGTTTTCTGAGGTGTCTGGTAGATAAAAGGAAAAAGTAGATGTCATTTATCTTGACTCTTTGTTTGTGCCCCTTGATGACATATTTTACAACTCTACTTCGGCCCTCATGATATATTTTATAAAGTACTTGTTGCAACATAATTGGCTGAAGAGCTAGCTGTCTAGAGATAGTGTCCACCAGAAGATCAGATCAATCTGGGAAGATGTCACGAATGATGGAACACACTGTTCTTGCACCCTGAGTGGTATGACATTATGATTTGTGCCCTACAGTATTGACTGGAGAGCGAGGTGCATAATTAATTTCTTTTAGAAGGATGAGCACAAGCCTGGTCCCTATGAGGCAGAGTTAGTTAAAGATGTCCTAAATGTCCAACTTTTCCAAACTGCTGTACCACTCCATCTCTAACATTAACTACTCTTCCTCCCCTCAGTCCTCTCTAACCACCGAACTTTTGGTGAGTAGCCCAATGCCTTAATCACAGCACCACTAGAGCTCCTTTCCTCCTATAGTAGTTGTTGTTATGTGCTGTCGAGTCGAACCTGACTCATAGTGACCCCTCCTTGGGTTTCCGAGGCGGTATCACTATGGAAGTAGATTGCCCCTTCTTCCTTTCAAGAAGTGGCCGGTGGGTTTGAACCGCCAGCCTTCTGGTTAGCAGTCAAGTGCCTTAGCTACTATACTACCAGAGCTCCCCCCTCCTATAGTAGGGTTCTATAATTCGTTGCAAAATCTCATAGAAATCAAAAACTGCCAAGGAAATGGCTCATGAGATTGGGGAGGTTGGCAAGTTCTACATACATGGGTCAGGTGTCAGTCTGGAGGATTGTCTCACTACATGGTTGCAGGGGCTGACAAATTTAAATCAACGGGTCAGAGGACAAGCTCACAAAGCTGCCGAAGCTGGTGAATAAGACCAGACAATAGACTGCTAGCTCAAGTCCTAAGAACCAGAGGTCAGATGATGAACTGGATATAGGATCCAGAGCAAGAGAGAGAACTTTGCCAGAGCATTTGTATATATTGGATACAGACCATACCCTTAAGGAAGCTCAGGGTGGTGACTTGAGTCACAACCTCTAGTAAGTTGATGATGACTCAAGACATATTCCACCCTTATCCTGCCTCCTTGGAAGGAAGGTTGGGCAATCTACTTCTGTAGGGATACTGCCTTGGAAACCCAAGGAGGGGTTGCTATGAGTTGGATCCGACTCCACGGCAGTGTGTTCGGTTTTTTGGAATCCTGCCTCATTAACAGGCTTGTGCTTGAAGTCGCTGGATATGTTACCACCAAGCAATAATGTTAGCCTATCCTTCGATGCCTTATGCCCTGGTGCATTTTTTCCCTCTTTTGAAGTGTAGGTCTTTTCAGGCATTTTTTTCCCCCAAAATTAAGCCAGTCTCTCTTATATTAAATATTTGGTCTGGCAGATAACCTCACTCCTCAGTAATTTTTATTCAGTAGTTCAGAAAAATCACTCACAGTACTTATATTGGCACTCACAGCTTCACCTTGCACTTTATCGTGTGTATTTTTTTTGTGACCATCATTCTATAACAACTTTACAGGCACATGATGAAATAAATTCAAATGGAAAAAAAAAAGGTGATATAAACAGAGTGATAGGTAATCCATCTTGTTGAGGGCCTTCCCCTCTTTCGTCAACCCTCTACCCTCCACCTTACCACCATACCAAACATGACAGTGAGATGGATTGACACAGTGGCAGCAGCGATGGGCTCAAGTATAGCAAGAATCATGGAGCTGGCTCAGGACCAGGCGGTGTTTTATTCTGCTGCGCATAGGGTCGCTATGAGTTGGAGACAACTCCATGGCACCTAACAACAACAACAACATAGGTAATCCAGGGAGCTCTGGTAATGTAGTGCCTAAGGCATTTGACTGCTAACCAGAAGTTTGACCCACCAGCCACTCCTCGGAAAGAAGATTGGGCAATCTACTTCTGTAGAGATACTGCCTTGGAAACCCAAGTATAGGTTGTTATGAGTAGAATCGACTCAATGGCAGTGAGTTTGGTTTTGGTTTATAGGTAATCCAGAGTCTCTGGGTGATAAAAGGGTTAATGTGCTCAGCTGCTAACTGAAAGTTTATTTTATTTTTTAATTTTTGTTATTTAGGTAAAAGTTTACGGAGCAAATTCATTTTCTATATAGCAGTTCATAAACATTTTGTTTCATGACATTGACTGCAGTCCCCACAGTGTAACAGCTCTCTTCCCACTTCCTCTCTGTAGGTACCTCTTCCCTGTGTCTTTTCTTCCTATGCATTCCTGCGCCTGGAGCTATCTTCTTCTGCATATACTGCCCTTTTGTTCTCTGATGATTGTCCATTCTGAGGAGTGTATCTTCCTGTCTATTGTTTGGCTAGGAGCAACGGAAATGAGTTTAGCTCCAAGCTTGAGGGGTAACTAGGGGCCATGGTCTTGGTGTTTCACCAGGCTCTGTCAGACTAGTAAACCTGGTTTTTATGATTTGGAGTTTTGTTCCACATTGTTCTCCCACTCTATCCAGGATCTCCTGCACTGATCCCTCTCCCAGTGGTTGACAGTGTTGGCCAGGCACCATCTAGTTCTTCCGGTCTCATGGTCATATAGTCTGAGGTTCACATGTTCCACTGGTCTCTTAGACTAATTGTTTCCATGCATCTTTGGTTTTCTTCATTTTTCTTTTCTCTGGATGAGGAGAGACCAGTTGTTGCATCTAGATGGCTGCTTGCAAACTTTTAAGACCCAGTCGATACTCAACAAAGTAGGATGTAGAACAATGTTTCTTGTGTAGTATGTTATGCCAGTTGAGCTTAATGTCCCCTGCCCACAAGTCCAGCAACTCGCTCCTTTAGGGTTTCACCTTGTACTTTAATATTATGCAAATTTGCCCTCATTTTGAAATGATTGAACCAACCCCTACTCACAACAAATTCTTTTATCACAAACACTTTCACTTGTTGCCCATGCAGCTTTTAAATCATTTAAAAGGCCTTGAGCCTTTCCTAGCACTAAAGTAAGACATAGGAAAAAAAAAAAAAACCTCACTGCTGTTGAGTAGTATCTGACTCATAGTGACCCCTCTTTGGCTCTTTGGGTTTCCAAGGCAGTATCATTACGGAAGTAGATTGCCCAACCTTCCTTCTGAGGAGTGGCTGGTGGGTTTGAACCACCAGCCTTCTGGTTAGCAGTCAAATGCCTTAGGCACTATACCACCAGAGCTCCCTAAAGTAAGACTAATAGGCATATTATACTGATTTTGATCATCTAACCAAATTATCAATAGCCTTTCTACTTTAATAATTAAAACACTGCATTGCTTAGTAATAACTGTAGATTTCATAAGGTAGCAAAGGCTTTCACATGCTTCCCTGTTCTCACTTTATCCTTTAAAATTGTTCCATTGATCAACTATAGCCCAACTCTTTTCCAATGACTGCTGGTGTTTCACATCTTTCTTATCACTTTTGTATTTCCACTTTATTTTCAATTGTTATAGTTCCCTTTTGTTTGATGCATCACCAGCACTTGCATCGGATTTTCCTTTGGAGACGTGGTTACAGGTATATTTAAGCCAAATACAGTTACACACTCAACATGTGTTAACAGCAATGTGACCTGACTTAAAAAGGCTGATGGCATTCTCCTTCCTCGAAGTGGATGACCCACCGAAGCTGAAAGCAAAGTTTTCATCAACTTTGCAAAGTAGTGTGTGCCTTCGTTATTATGAGCCGTAGGCTTTATGGCAGCCTGATCTTAAGTGCAAATTGTCCGTAAGTTGAACATCCTTAACCTGGGGACTTACTGTATTGTATATTGAAAAATGCTATGTTAATATAAACTGAGTATTATATTTATGCCTCAGAGGAGGTAAATCCTAGTGGATTACCAATTTATGGGATGTTGGATTTGGAAGAAGCCAGAGTTCCCTTTTTGAGAAGCTACGAGACTTCTAAATCTAGCAAGGACTGTTAATGTCCATTCTTGGGCAGATGAATGAAAGTGAAAAAGTTCTGCTTCCACTTTGTATCCACTCCAGTTAGTCTTTGAACTTGCAAACTGCTGAGTCTCTGGAGATACTTGTTTGGCACCTTACTGCTTGCTTGGTGGTCCGGAACATATACCATGTTTAAGCATATTTCTAATAGTGTCTCTTCAGCTGCGACACAGATAAAGGCAGAAGCTCCATCTTAATCTTCTAACCTTGGCATCTAATAAGTATTAATGACTCTTATATACTCTCAGTTTCCTTCACACATTTGTTGTATAAATCATTGTTTTGTGGGAGTGTTTCTTGCCCATTGTGGCTAAAGGCCATGTCTTACGAGTCTTTGTATGTCTGTGCCTAACATACAAAAAAAACCCCAAAAAACAACAACAAAAAACCCACCAAACTCATAGCGACCCCTCCTTGGGTTTCCGAGGTGGTATCTCTATGGAAGTAGATTGCCCAACCTTCCTTTTGAGGAGTGGCTGGTGGGTTTGAACCACCAGCCTTCTGGTTAGCTGTCAAATGCCTTAGGCACTGCACCACCAGAGCTCCTGTGCCTAACATAGTACCTGCCTTATTTGAAATCCTCAAAACATTTGTTGAATCAGTGGGTGAGGATAGCAGTAAACTTTCTGGAATTAGTTAATAGTTTCTGTTCTTTTTGGCATTCACCTGTTATTTACTTTAATGCCTTCCCCATTTCTCTCTTCCATAAGTCATTTGAAAAAATCACTAATAAGCTGCTATTATTAAGTTCATCCATCAGCTTTTTTTTTTTTTTTAACCCACTGAGTGTATTAATTATATTTCACATCTCATAGGTAGTAATAAAGTCTAGGTACAGAATGTCTGAAAACTTCCATTCTGTCTTTCATTATCTGAGGTACAATAGCTTTTTGGAGATTGCTGGCTTTGGTGGCAGGCAGTCTGGTTAGAATAATTCACACTGTTACTTTCTTTCTATGTTACTTTGACTAAGTAACTAATCTCATAAACCTCTGTTGTCTTATTTGTAAAATAATTTCACTAATTGTAATAATTGCATTTGGGTTGATTTAACAATTTTATTTGGATCGATTTTAAGACTGGTGAAGGATTTTTGTGAGAATTACCTGAGCTCCTTCATTTGAAGAGGTTGGTACAGTGTCTGGCATATAGAAAGCCTTGGTGAATGATAGTTATTTTTGTGTTTTATTACTGTGGTGCTGGAGAGCCGGAACAACAGTAAGATTGGACACAGTAGAGAAGTAAATACTGTTGGCCTGTGTGTGGTGCCTGCTGGTGTTTCTCCCCTCCTGCAGCCCCATAAAACACTAATGCCAGAGAAGGGATTTGAATACTGATATATTTAATTATTTACCACTCATTTTCATCTCTGGGTCACTTGGTGGAGACCCACAAAGGTATTTTTTTTTTTTTCCTCCATCTTATGGAATGCTTTAAGAATAGAAATTGCCAGCAGAGGGACGAAGAATTAGATTACTTTTGGGGGACATTTCAATAGATGGCAAAACAAATACTCCATTGCTTTCCCTGCAGACAACCACATTCTCTCTGCTTCTGGATGTAATTTGTTAAACACTTAACCCAGCCGTCTGCTTATCCTCTATTCTTCCTGGGCCTCAGAATAGAGGTCAGTGCATTCCAGGCAGCCATAGCTGCCACACTTTCATGCTTTCTGTCCCCTCCAAGCTTGAGGATGGGTATAAAGATGTCTTGTTTCTCTGTTGATACACTAGTTATCTGGTAACATTTGAACCAAAGTCCCTAGGTAGTATAAATAGTTTGCGCTAAGCTGTTAATCTAAAGGTTGGCAATTCAAACCCATCAGGAGCACAGCAGAAGAAAGCCCTGGTGATCTTCCATAAAGATTACAGCTAAGAAAACCCAGTGGAGCAGATCTACCCTGACACACATGGGGTTGTCATGAGTTGGCCTCAAATCACTGTCAACTGTTTTTCTTTTTCTAAGGGGGGCCATGTTCAGGATCCAGGGTGGGGCATTTGAAAGTGGAGACAGAGTAAGAGCTTTCTGTTTGATTCCTCACAAACTGTTTTCTTTTTCTTCCCCTCTTCTGTATTCCAGGTGTACGTGTCTTATGACTATGGAAAATCATTCAAGAAAATTTCAGAGAAGTTAAACTTTGGTGTGGGAAACAGCAGTGAATCTGTGATTGCCCAGTTCTACCACAGTCCTGCAGACAACAAGCGTGTAAGGAAGCACCTTTGTGACTTCATGGGGCTGGATTTGGGGAGATTTGCTGCACTGAAGATGTCTTTGTGCCCTTTTTAGGAGGGCAGTGGGTTTAGTAGCTAACCTGGGAGTTTGTGATAGTATACAGTTCTCAGGGTGGGACTGTGCATAATAAGCAGGCAGGCCAAGTAATGGCCAGACAGATTTCTAGCACATACAGTGGAAGGTTAAACTACAGGGAGTCGGCCTGAGGATAGGTGACAAATGTTCCTTAGTTCAGGTCCTCCAGAGCAGCTCCTGACCTCTTGGTTTCATCGGTATCATCTGTGTGCATGTTTGTGTATGTATATGTGTGCTTGTACATTTACACATTCCTCTTTCCCCTGTCTCTGAATCTCTACTGATAGAGAAAAGAAAATCAAAGCAGCAGTTATTGCAGTGCCTCCTGATTTGTTTTTCCAGCTGCCTGGCCTGGGGGGCTTTGTTTCTGCAGTAGAAGCTGGCAGTCTGATTGGGAGGAAGCTTTGATGAAATTGCCCTGGGCCCCAGGGAGTTGGAGGGGGGAGGGCAGGCATCAAGACCCTGCAAAGCTTTCTGGCCAGTTAGATCAGCTAGATCACTTTTTGCTCTTGGATAGTTATTTAATTGTTTTCCTCCTTGCTCCTGTGCTATGCCTAGGTAAGTCCAGAGTCAGATGATTTTTAAGGTTGCTGAAAAACTCCTTAGTAGCAGAAGCTTCCAGAGGTAAGGGTAGCTGCTGCTTCTCTCGAATCAAGAAAAAAGCAAGCTCTGCTTGGTCCAGTGCTTGCGTCTCAGGTTGCCTCTGGTTGGTTAGCAGGGACTGTATTCAGAATATTTAGTGAGTGCACTATCCTGGGCACTGACCAATCAAACCCCCTGCAGGGCCAAGCGTTAACCTTTTAGTTGCTAGACTGAGGTTGTTAGAGGGGTACACTCATGGAGTTCAGGGCAGTAATTATTTACCAACTGCTACAGAAGGTTTTTCTTTTTCTTTTTCTTTTTTTTTTAAACAAAAAGTAACCAGAATAGTTATTACTGGTGTGTATCCATTACATATCAACCTTGCCTAATGATCTCAAACTGGAGCATCATTTAGGAGTGAACTTCCCTCTCCTGCCTAACTGTAGGGCCACAAAGCAGGCTCCCCCAACCCACTAGACCAAACGAAAAGCAAGGAGTAAGTGTTGGAAGGACTTGGCTGTATAGACATGAGTGCAGGGCTTCAGTGCTCCATTCGCTCTACTGCATTATGGTCAGTCAGGCCTGCTGCTGGTGCTCCCTGACTCGGGTAGGCCCTGCTGCCCTATTTGTTCTTGGCTTCTTCTGGGTGATGGGCCTCACTGCACTGTCCAGCTTGCTGGCTGTGCTGTCCCTCCTCTGAGTCGCTCTGCGTGCCTCACCTGTCAAGAATCAAGCAACACTTGCAATGCTCACTTCATCATACTTGATCTATCTGATTGTTGTTACTATCATTAATTTTTGCACATTGCCCATCTTATAGCTAACTCTTGCTGAAGTTATGGCTGAGATGTGTTGGGAGCTTGAGCTCTGGGCCATGAAATAGCCTGTTGTCCCTCTGGAGTCTACCTTTTTGAGCTTGATCCATTCTCCCCACCTCCACAACACACACTCCTTTCTACCACAGGGCACAGAGGCCTAAGCAGATTCCATATTCCTTCCTGCTTCTCATGAGTTGTGGTGAGCACCTGCTAATACCACAAGACTGAGGACTGCGAAGTTAGGAGGAAAGATGATGCTTTGGGCTTGCAGGAAGAGGTCTAGTACAGGGAGAAGATAAGGGGCCTTTGGAGCAGTAGGGGTGGAGAAGGAGCAGGGCAGGGGCCATGGTGTGGGGACTCAGGGATGACTGCAATGAGGGAGTTTTAGGTGGCTGCAAGGTAAGTTTGGAGTAGGAATGCTTACAGTGCAAGTGCTGACTCCCTTGAAGAGAGATTCATTCTGGATTGAGCTGGGTGTGCTTTGGAATTGGTGAGGTGGAGAGTCAGGAGCCTGAAGGGGGCTGCTGCTTAGAGAACATCCTGATAGTTAGACCTTGGGCTGAGTGAGGTTAAGGAGGATTTCTGCAGAATTTCTGATTCCCCAGAGAAGGCGAAGGTTGTTACTCTTCCTCAGATGTCTCAGGAAGGAAATGATGACTGTTACTGTGCTAATTACTTTTGTTACTCTTCCCTTTGCCCCTCGAGAGGCAAATGACCCCACCAGATCTACCACTTCCTGAGAGACATCACACAAGGTTGGGTGCTTTGCTGTCAAAACCAGGATGCAGGGTCCAGGCAAACCACCCGTGTAGAAGCGTTGGGGGGGCTGGAAAGCGTGATGTGCAGTGGTTGGCATGAGTGGTAGCAGCAGCTCTGAAAGCTTGAGGTGTCATGCAGGGGCCATATGGAAATCTGAGGGTGTGTGCCTGAGGAGGGAGGAAGAAGGTGCTTCTTAGGCAAGCAGTTCTGGTCTGGTGGCTACGTGATAAGATAAAGTGGTGATTGTTGGTCTTGGGGTGGTGTGCATGTTTGGGTCTATTTAAGTACTAATCAGCAGTCCTACTTCCTTCTTGTTCCTCCTCTGTGTACTGGCTCCCTGAACCAATACACAGCCCTAGCCACTTGTAGGACCCCAAACATCAGTCAGGCAGGGTCTGAGTATGTCTAAAGGTCTTAAAAAAAAAGGTCACCAAGTCACTGAATGTACAGTTAGGTTCACAACCTCAGCAGAAGTGAGCACTGATCCAGCCTTTTCTAGGCAGAGGTGGGTCCTAGCTAAAACTGTAAAACAGTTTGCCTCTTTGTGCCTTTGTTCCCATCTTCTAGAGGTAAATTCCTTCATTTCCTCCCCTGCCCTTCCTCCTCTTGCTGTTCTCTTGGCTTCTTCACTCAAAACTGGAAAAATGATTTATGCTAACATATAGGTAAATTCTGTAGTGTAATTTGCTATCTTTCCAGAGGTCTTTGTATTTTAAGAGGAAGCAAAGCTTTAGGCATAAGTTGAAGCTCCTCTGGAACAATAAGTGATTGCAAACAGGATTGGAGCATTTGGGGTGGACAGGCACTCTCCTGGAAACACATGGTTTAGGTCCTTGGGTGGTGCAAATAGTGAACATGCTTGGCTGCTCAAAGGTCAGAAGTTCAAGACTACTCAGAGGTGCCTTGGAAGAAAGGCCTGGTGATCTGCTTCTGAAAAATCAGCCACTGTAAACTGTTTGGAACCCAATTCTGCTCTGATACCCATAGGGGCACTATGAGTCAGGGCAACTTGATGACACCTGATTTTGTTGTTTTAGGTAGCACTCAGCTCTGTGGGCAAATCTGTGGTCAGCCTTGAGTAAACATGACAGGCATGCAGTAATGGGGATGTAAAAGCAGAGTGGGACATCCTGTGCCTTCCTAAGATGAGCATATGTGACCCGGTGACACAATAGCATGGAGCCCCACATGGCTAAATGATTGATGGAAGCTACAGATAACCAGAGCTGTGGGAGTTAAATGAGGTTGGATCAGAAAAGTAAAGACTTGGTGGAGTCATTAGTATTGGAAATGGAGGTTCAAGGGTTGCCATGATTTTAGTAGGTAGAGCAGTGTTAGTGGGAGCGTTAGTGGGAGGAGAAAGTTGTGGGCGGAGATGCTGAGGTGCTAATATGTGGTTTCTTGCAGGACAATGAGGTGATTAGCTTCTCAGGGGTGAAGGGTTGGCAGTGAAGTGCTTTGGCAGATCAGTCAGTCATCCCGTTTGAAGATGGAGGAGATTCTTCTGCCTCAAGGGCTGTGAGAGCCATGGAAGAATTTCTGAGTAGGGAGTAACTGAAGGCTGTCTTTTAGGGAATTGTATCCCCTGGTCCAGGGGTGGTGGTGGTTTAGTGGTAAAATTTTTGTATCCGTGTAGGAGAGTAGGGTTCAGTTTCCTGCCAGTGCAGCTCATGTGCAGCCATCACCTTCTGTAAGCAGAGTCTTGCATGTTGCTGTGTTGCTGAACAGGTTTCAGTGGAGCTTACAGACTAAGAGACTAGGAGGAAAGGCCTGGTAATCTACTTCTGAAAATTATCAGTAATAACAAACACTAACCTATGGGTGGATACATAGGTAGACAGGCAAGATTAGGTATAGGTAGACAAACGGGACTATACCTATGACCATATACACATTTGGCAGACAATATTACTACATATGTATTCATATGTGCTATAAAAATATCCACATATGTTATAGATCTAATAGGGGAAAAGTTAGGATAACTTCTTAGCCACAACTAAGTACCCTAAGGGAGGGAGATGCTGGGCCTGTGGACTCAGGGCCATGGTCATGGGGTACACCAAGTTCAACTGGCACAACATAGTACACAAAAACATTATTCTACATCCAGCTTTGGTGAGTAATGCCTGGGGTCCTAAAAGCTTGAGAGTGGCTATCTAAGATGCAACTTTTAGTCTCTCCTAGTCTGAAGCAAAGAAGGGTGAAGAAAATCAAAGACACATGGAAACAATTAGTCAAAGGGACTAATGGACCATGGAACTCTCACCCTACATGACCCTGAGGCCAAGAGAATTAGATGATGCCTGGCTATCAATGCCAACCACTCAAAAAGGGATCAATATTAGAGATCCAGGAGCTCTGGTAGCATAGTGGC